CTCAGCAATAGAGCGCTCGCCTCGCACATGCAAGGCCCTGGGAGCACCACATAAACATAAATAAATAAATAAATGGATAAATAAATAAATAAACAAAATAAAGGTATCATGTCCAACTACAATTACAAAAAAATAAATATTAAAAAAAACTACTCTAAAATTTCATCTCACTCCAAGTCAGAATGGCAGCTATCAAGAATACAAATGACAATAAGTGTTGGCGAGGATGTGGGGGAAAGACACACATTACTGGTGGGACTGCAAATTGGTGCAGCCAATCTAAAAATGGAGATTCCTTGGAAAACTTGGAATGGAACCACCATTTGACCCAGCTATCTCACTCCTCGGTCTATACCCAAAGGACTTAAAATCAGCATACTACAGTGACGCAGCCACAGCAATGTTTATAGCAGCAAAATTCACAATAGCTAAATTGTGGAGCCAACCTAGATGCCCTTTGGTAGATGAATGGATAAAGAAAATGTGGTATATGTACTCAGTGGAATACTACTCCGCATTAAAAGAGAATAAAATCATGGCATTTGCAGGTAAATGGATGGAGTTGGAGAATATGCTTAGTGAAGTAAGCCAATCCCAAAAAAACAAATGCCAAATGTTTTCTCTGATATGCAGATGCTGATCCATAATGGGGATGGTGGAGGGAGCATGGAAGAAACAGAGGAACTTTGGATAGGGCAAAGGGGAGTGAGGGAAAGAGAGAGAGCATGGGGGGAAGAGAGGGGGCATGGGGGTGAGAAAGATGGTGGAATGAGATGGACATCATTATCCTAAGTACATGTATGAAGACATGAATGGTATGACTTTACTTTGTGTACAACCAGAGACGTGAAAAATTGTGCTCTATATGTGTACTACGAATTGAAATGTATTCTGCTGTCACATATAACAAATTAGAATGAATAATTTTTTAAAACACCACCAAAGAACTAGACTCCTCTTTTTTATTTTATAGTGACCAGCTTAACAAACATATATGAAGTGATGAAGAGATATTTTGTGGGTTTGATATGCATTTCCCTGATGATTAGCGATGTTGAATATGTTTTCATATGTTTATTGGCCATCTTCTTTACAGAAATGTTCATTCAAGCCCTTTGCTTTTTTTAGGGGTGGGGGTTCTGGGGATAGAACCCAGAGCCTAGCACATGCTCGTCAAGCGCTCTACCACTGACTTGCACACCTAGCTCATGCCCATTTTTCAATTCAGCTGTTTTTTGTTGTTGAGTTTTATCATCTGACTGTATGCATATCCCCAAATTCATATCAGAGCCTTCATGAGCCTTATAAATAAGGCCAAGAGAATTAGCTAGCTCTTTCAACCACAGAAGGACACAATGGAAACATGCCTTCTGTTAAAAAGGGGGGGGGGCATTGAAAGACATCAAATCTGCCTGCACCTTGAGTTTTGGGTTTCTCAGTTTCCAGAACTCTGAGAAATAAATTTCTTTGTTTATAAGCTACTCAGTCTGATGCGTTTTGTTCCAGCAGCCCAAACAGACTAAGACAAACTCCTTATCAGATATGTGGTTTGCAAATATTTTCTCCCATTTAATAGGCTACCTTTTCTTTCTGTTGATTGTTGCCTTTGCTGTGCAGAAGGTTTAAGTTTGATGTAGTCTTGTCTAATTTTGCTTTTGTTTCTTTGGGCTTTTGTTGTTGTTCCCAAGAAATCATTGCCAAATTCAGTGTTGTAATGCTCCAAAGCATATTCTCTTAAACATGCTTTTCAAACTATGGGTTATAAACCAATTTGTAGATCATGAAATTAATTTAGTGAATTACAATTGGTATGTTTTAAAAGAATAGAATACAACAGAATAGAAAATATCTAATGTGTTACACCATATGTAGTATGGCTAAACATTGTTTTGGAAAGTTTTTTTTCCCCAGTGTGTGTATATGTGATGGGTTGTAAAATAAAATAGATTTCTTACTGTGGGTTATGGTTTAAAATTTTGAAAAATATTGAACTACTTTCTACAGCACTTGGACCAAACAAAGTCCCAACACTGCTATCTGTCTATATTCTAATAGTTACAGTCAAGCCATTACATGGCCCTCAGTGGGCCTCAGTGTAATAAATACAAAGGGACCTGTACTAGAGTGGCAGGGACCACATCATGTGGCAACTTTGTTTCTGCAAAACTAGAAAAGCAACTGCTACATTAAATTAATATTTTTTAAAGCGAGCGAGCGAGAGAGAGAGAGAGAGGAGAGAGAGAATTTTTTTTAATATTTATTTTTCAGTTTTCGGTGGACACAACATCTTTATTTTATTTTATGTGGTGCTGAGGATTGAACCCAGCGCCCCGCGCATGCCAGGGGAGTGTGTTACCGCTTGAGCCATATCCCCAGCCCTTAAATTAATATTTTTATTTGAATTATACTGATGCTATTATTTCAGCTTCCTTCTGTTATTGCAGAAGATCTGTAAGTGCACTCATCCTTTCTAATCCTAGAAGAATTGGTTCTAGGACCCCCTATGGATACCAAAATCCACGTATGCTTAAGTCTCTTACATAAAATGAAATAGTTGGGCACAGTAGCACATGCCTGTAGCCCCAGCTACTCAGAAGGCTGAGGAAGGAGGATTGCAAGTTTGAGACGAGCCTGGAAAACTTAGTGAGAACTTGTCTCAAAATAAAATAAAAAAGGGCTGGGGATGTAGCCCAATGGTAAAGTGCCCTTGAGTTTAATCCCCAGTACTGCAAATAAATACATAAATAGAGTCAGGATGTAGCTCAGTAGTAGAGTGCCCCTAGGTTCAGTCCCAGAATAGCAATAAATAAATAGAAGTTGAATTTGTATATAACTTACATGCATCCTCCCATATACTTTATTTTTTTTTTTTTAAAGAGAGAGAGAGAGAGAGAGAGAATTTTAATATTTATTTTTTAGTTATCGGCAGACACAACATCTTTGTTTGTATGTGGTGCTGAGGATCGAACCCGGGCCGCACGCATGCCAGGCGAGCGCGCTACCACTTGAGCCACATCCCCAGCCCCCCATATACTTTAAATCATCTCGAGATTACTTATAATACCTAATACAATGAAAATGCTACATAAATAGTTATTACACTGTACTGTTTAAGAAATAATGACAAGGGGGTAGGGTTGTGGTTCAGCCCCTGGGTTCGAGCCTCAGCACCACACAAAAATAAATAAATAAAATAAAGGTATCGTGTCCAACAACAAATAAAAAATAAATATTAAAAAAAGAAATAATGACAAGAAAAAATATGCATGTTGAGTACAGATGCAATTAAATTTTTTTCTTTTGATTTGCAGTTGGTTCAATCTATGGAAGCAAAACATGTGAATACAGAAAGATGATTGTATAAAAATTTTATTCATAGTTTTTTGCTTGCCTATGTTTATAGAAATAACTTTTTTTGGATGGATCAAGCTGATCCTGAACTCCTGGGCCCAAGCAATCCTCTTGCCTTAACCTCCTGAGTAGCTAGGACTATAGGTGCATGCCATGCCTCATGTGTAAAAATAATTTAAGACTACAATGGGGTATAAGAGTATTTATTTTTTTCAAAAGGTCCATGTAGCCAGGTATGGTGGTGAATATCCGTAATCCCAGTGACTTGGAAGTTTGAGGCAAGAGGATTGCAAGTTTGAGGCCAGCTTGAGCAATTCAGTGAGACCCTGTCCTAAAAAATAAAAGGACTAGAGATGTAGCTCATCAGCACCACACACACACACAAGTGTCCATACATTGATGGAATTTGAGAAACACTGTTTAGGTGGTATACTAAATTGAAAAGTGTCCACCAAACTTCATTTCACCTAGAGCCTCAGAATGTGATCTTATTTGAAAATAGAATCGTTATAGATATAGTTAAGTTAAAATGAGGTCATACTGGATTAGGGGAGCCCTAAATCCAGTGACTGGTGTCCTTAAAGAAAATCAAGTACAGCCAGGTATGGTGACGCATCCCTGTAATCCCAGAGACTAAGGAGGCTGAGGCAGGAGAATTCCAAGTTTGAGGCCAGCCTCAGCAACTTGGCGAGACCCTGTTTCTAAAAACTAGAAAGGGCTGGGGATGTAGTTCAGTTGTAAAGCATGCCTGGGTTCAATTCCCAGTACAAACGAAAAAAAAAAATAAAGAGGGCCATGTTTAGATATATAGGAAAAAGACATGTGACAACAGCATAGAGTTATGCTACCACAAACCAACAATTTCCAGCAAGTAGCTAGGACTATAGGTGCATGCCACACCTCACGTGTAAAAATAATTTAAGCCTACAATGGGAGTATAAGAGTATTTATTTTTTTCAAAAGGTCCATGTATGATGGTGAATGCCCATAATCCCAATGACTTGGAAGTTTGAGGCAACTTAGTATACCAACAGAATCTAACAAAGAAGCAACCTCTCTCTTGAGCCTTCAGATGGAACCTATCCTTCAGACACCTTGGTTTCTGCAGGAATAGAGAGAGGTTATTCTGGGCTGGGGATGTGGCTCAAGCGGTAGCGTGCTCGCTTGGCATGCGTGCGGCCCGGGTTCGATCCTCAGCACCACATACAAACAATGATGTTGTGTCCGCCAAAAACTGAAAAATAAATATTAAAATTCTCTCTCTCTCTCAAAAAAAAAAAAAAAAAAGACTCTCAGAGTCATTTCCTTACTTTAAAAAAAAAAGAGAGAGAGGTTATTCTTCTATGAGAAGAAATCATGCAGTTTTAAGCCACCAGGTTTGTAGCAATTTGCCACAGCACCCAAGAAAACTAGTACAGGTGGTAACCTGCTAAGAACAGGAGTACACAGAGTGACCCTCCTTAAAAGCCATCCCAGGCCCATCCTCCCAGCAAGTGTGCCATGCCACAATATGGTCTTCACAAGTTGGGAAAACTGAGGCCCAGAGAGAGCTAATGGCTTACTCAAAGGGCCATAACATGTCAGGGGAAAGAAAGGACCAGAAAGCAAAACTTTAAGAGTTTCCTCCTAGAACTTGGCCCTCTACTTACCATGGTACTAGAAAATATGTTCACTTCATTGACTGACTTGGCCATCTTGATTCTGGAATTGGTTTCACAGCACTGTAACCCAGAGGAATTGAGTCTTAACCGCCTCATGTCAGGTACAGATCTGCAGTGTCTTGCAGAGATAGGCTTGCAGGGAGCAGAATCAGTCTTCTTCTTTGCGGCCTCCTGGTCAAGGCTACTGCCTGTTTCATTCTTCTTTACATCTTTGACACTTAAGAGCAACTCAGGTGTGCAGGACACTAATGCCAATGGCCGGAAGTACTGGGAAGGAGGAAACCAAACACACAGCCAGTGGGAACTCAGCTCTGGCCACTTCCAGATTTGTCTGCACCCAAGGGTAGGTGCAAAGGAGATAAGGAGAAGGAAAAGCGGTTGGTATCAAAGTCTCTCTAATATGAGGATCTTAGACCTGGGGTTCTGGGACTCCTTAGAGGGCCCATGGATGACTTTAGGGTATCTTTGAGCCACTTGAAACCAGTTTTAAAATAGTGCATTGTATATTTTACCACAAGAGATTCCAGAGCTTTTATCAGATTCTCAACAGGTCTGGAACCTTAAAGTTTAAAAAAAAAAAAAAAAACTGCTCTAATTCTGTCCTTCCAAGTAAGTCTTTAAGATGAAGCAGATGGGCTGACAGTCAACTGAGGTGGACTGAAAAGTCATCTATCCAGTGAGCTAGAAGAAAGCACTAGGCAGAGAAACCAGAAGCCAGAAACTTAGATCACAGGACAAGAGGGCAGCTACCAACAAGCCTGGAGGTTGGGCCAACCCATGCAGACAGCAGGAAGGACCCCACCATGACCAGTCATCCCTGTTAATGTTCTGAGGATTCTGCCTTCCAGAAGCTCTCCCAGTGGCCCACTGAATTAGGGCATTCCCACCCCAGCTGGAGTTGAGGATGTGGGTCCTGGAAATTGCTCTCTATATGATATCATGCCCAGTCTCCCAGCACAGCCTGCCTGCTCTTATTTCTAAGAAGATAAAAAGGACAGATGAGTGAGAATCCTCTGCTGCCTGAATGAAGTGATGCTCTGATGGACACTCAGCTCTGTGTGGCTGCCACAGTTCCCTTCCTGTGGCCCAGCCCTCCAAGTAGCCTGTCAGTATGTCTGGGCTCGGAGTAGTAGTCTCCGTGGCAACCCCTGAGAGACTGGCCCAAGCCTGGGAAGGGTGCCAGGTATGCACATTCCCCTCCCATCTGGGTTTACTTGTTTGGGGCTGTGGGCGGTGGTCTTGTGTTTCTGTTGTTTTTTCTGCTGGTTCTTGGTGCTCTTGCCCCTTGCTTTCTCGCCGGCTATCTCTGACTCTCCCTGCATCTCCACCTTCTTCTCTTTCATTTGGAAGGATTGCTTCTCCTGTTTCAGTCTCAGCTCCTGGATCAGTTGCCTGCCCAATGAGGAACAAGTGATTGTCATGGAGGTTAGGACAGGTGGTGAAGGTGGGCATCCTCCTTGGGCGATAGACAAGTTAAAATGGAGAGGCAGAGTGCCCCCACTTCCCTCCCCCAGTGTGTCCAGTCTGCACAAGTGATTGAAGGTCAGAAATCAAGGTGGTAAGAAAGAAGTCATCCCTTTAATCATCCAGGGAATGGCATCATTTCAAATAGAAATGTGCAGTAAAAAGAGCTATGTTCTATTCCATCGCAACCCCATCTCCTCCCTACTTCCCAGTAGACCATCTGCATCCATGGCAGGTGCTGGAAGAGGATCTGGGTGGGAGACTACAGCCAGGGGCTCCCAGTGGGACCATTTCATATGATGAGCTCTTTGGCCAATAGATCAGGAGAGTGCTCTTAAGGTGACACAATATAGTGGAAATAATATGGTCTCGTGAGTCAGGTGACTGGGAGTTCTAATCCCTCTCCTGATATTATCTTGTTATATAATATCCTCTCTGATCCAATTTCCCCTTCCATAAAATGAGATAGTTGGTGGGGACTAGATTTAATGGGACAATTCCCTTCCAGCCCTTAGATTTTATACCTGCGTGAATCTGAGGAGGTGTGCATCCTGGAATGAGGTGAGGGCGTCTGTCTCTATGGTCAGTTTCTCTATGGTCAGTCACCTATCTACTTATCTACTTAATATCCCACACTAGGAAATCTTCCAATTTATGGCCCTTGTGAGACCACAGCAAATGTTCCCCAAGCAACTTCAAGGTTGGGAATTGAAGCTCAGGGACTTTCCCTGCCACCCCAGGACAGCTACCCAGCAGGTCAAGCACAATCCCCAGAACACACCGCCACCTCACCCTGGGAGCCTTCCTACCGGGCATACAACTCCCGAGCCCTGGAAGCAGCAGTATTCTGGAAGAGGGAGCAATTGTGCTGGAAAAACTTGTCATACTTCTCCAAATTCAGAGTGGGATAAATCAGCCGGAACCCGCCACAATTTTCCTTCTCATATTTCTCTGTTTTCTGTAACTGCACTGCTTGGAAACCCTTGGCTTCCTCAATCCTGTTGGGATTCAGAACACAGGGATACAGTTTTTTTGGAAGGGACATGCCCAAGCTGGATGTCATCTAGGGCCAGAGGGAGGCCTTTCACATAATAGTGGTTAAACAGTATTTGTTAAATAAAAGCAAAAATGTTTCCTGGAAAGGAGATTCTAGCCCTCCTGGGACAACCAGTGTCACAATTCACTAAGAGCTGGTTGGAAGAGCCTTTCTGACAGCTCACCAAATTCTCTCCCCTTACGAGTAAAACCCATTTCCCCCTTGGCTTAGTCTGACCAGGCAGACTGTCGCCACCTTCCCATTCATTACCCTTATTACTCTTCTCTGGAGAATGGCAGCTTGTGTTCTGCTAAATTTGAGGGCTTCTTGGATGAGCTTAATGAGCTTTATGAGCTGTAATGATCTCATTCTTCCTCATAGCCCCTTGGGGAAATGGAGGTCAGGTAGGGAGGCATGATAAGCCCCCTCTACAGAAGGGGAACCAAGAGACACTGAGAGATCCAGGACAAAGTAATGAAGGGAGACAGATGCAGAGGAGACCCTCGGTGTGATGGGTGTGATGGGTGTGATGGGGTGATGTGGTCTCCTCCTCAAAGAGTTGAGACAGCAGTACAGTGGAAAGGTATCCTGGCACCCAAGCTGGCACACCCACTGGGCTCTGGGTCCAGAGCTGTCACCAGTAAGCTGATCTCATGAAAGTCAGTTCCCCTTCTGGAGTCTTGCTTTCCTCTGCTTCAAGAACAGCACCACACCACACTCCATTCTACCTTCCTCCCTGCAGGGGAGACAGTACACATGAAAGTGCCAGAGAAACACAGTGCCATCTGGACACTAGTACAACACATTGCCCCTGTTCCAGAAGCTCGGTCCCAAAGGATTTGATTGGCTCTGTTTCTGGAAAGGAAAATAGGCAGAGGTGGGGGAGGGTCCTTAGTGGGATCTGAAAAGCAACCAGGGCACCTCCTTGACCAGGCCCAGAGTCTTAAGATACTAGAACCACTATGCAGAATGAAGGCCCCAGTGACAATGCAAATGACGCCCTTCAGACATTAGCTCCTGCCGACATAGTAACATGGGAAAGGACTGACGAACTTTTCATTTTAGTAAAAATAAAATATTGATTTTATTTTTTTATATTGGTAATTCTTAAATCTTCACATATTAATCAATTCATATCCGTTATATATATAGTTACATGTGTATAACTTAATCTCCTATTTCTAAGAACAAAAATTATCCATAATCCAACTATTTGAATTACTATATTCTGCAACTAAAAACTCACATTCCAGCCAGGCATGGTGGTGCACACCTGTAATTCCAACAGCACAGGAGGCTGAGGCAGGAAGATCACAAGTTCACAGCCAGCCTCAGCATTTTAGCAAGGCTCTAAGTAACTTAGTGAGATTCTGTCTCAAAAAAAAAAAAAAAAATGTGAAAAAGTGCTGGGGATGTGACTCAGTGGTTAAGCACCCCTGGGTTCAAACCCTGGTACCAAAAAAAAAAAAAAAAAAACCCACAAAAAACTATCACTTTCTAAATAGGATCATAGTTTGCTAGAAATAATCCACCCCCCAACTCCAGGCAAGATTCTTCTATTTTTAAATTTTTCTTTTCTGTCTTTTTTCTTTTTTACTTGCAACCATTGATCCTCACTCCACCTCACAGGCAAAATTTTTGATAGCCTCTAAAAAGTTATGGTGCTGGGCAATATACTAAGACTCTATATGAATGATCTTATTTAATTCTCCTAACAGGCTGAGTGTGGTGGTGCCCACCTGTAATCCCAGTTAGTGAGGAAGCTGAGGCAGGAGGATTGCAAGTTTGAGGCCAACCTGAGAAAGTGAGACTCTGTCTCAAAATAAAAAGGGCTGGGGATGTGGCTCAATGGTACCCCTGGGTTAAATTCCTAGTACTGGAAAAAAGTAATTATGTGTCACTAGCTCCATTTCACAGAAAGATCACTGAGGCTCACAGAAGTGATGAAAGGCCACATAACTAGCAGGATGTTGAGTTGTAACTTTGACCAAGACAGCTAGTCTCCCTGGGAGCAGGGAAGTGAGAGAATGAGGGCCCTGGGGCCAGAGGGTGCTGCTGTACCTGACCTCCCGGGAGGGACACTGCTGCAGGAACTGCCCCCGCTTTCTCTCCTCCTCCAAGACTTTCTTTTTGTCACAACTTTCCAGATTGATCAGTACCAGGGTGTCATACAGCAGACTGTCTTTCACATCTTTATCCAACCGGGAGTCAGTAGAGAAGCTTGGAGAGTGGTTGACCTGTGAGGGCAAAATGACAGCTGGGGACAGGGCCATCCAGGGTAAAAGTGAGGGGTAAAGCAGATGCTACCTCCAGATGCTGCCAACATCCACCTCAGGGCCCTGGCTGCCCAGACCACCCAGAGGTGACAAACAGTCTGTCCCTGAGACACAGTAAAGAAAGCAGAAAGCAGAACTCCCTCTGGGTTAGCCTGTTTCATCTTGGTCCTCTCTCCTCTGGAAGCGTGAGGTGTGCCCCCTCTTTGGTTTCCCCCCATCTGATGTGTGTTCTCTTACATGCACCATGTGTGTTACACAGAGCAGAACAGAGGAGGGGTCTGAAGGATTGGCTTGGAGGTAGGAAAAAGAAAGGAGGAACACTTTCTGGAGCCTCATCAGGCTGAGGGGGAGAACAGGTGGGAGGAGAAGGAGAACTTATTCCTGCCCACAGCAAAGTCCATCCTGTTCAGAAGCACTGGGTGACATTTGTAAATTTCCAGCAGTTTTTGAAGGCTTGCTCATGCTGGCTCATTCTGTTCATGGGGTAAGAGCTCTAAGTGGCCGTCTCTCTATTTCCCTCACACCTGAGAACAAGGGTGAAGGAAGGCAAATCCCAGGAATCCAATCTGCAGTTCTGAATTCTCCACGCTAAAGTATGACTCTGGCATCAGTACCTGGCACTAGCACCTCGGATGTCACCTAATGTACACACTTTGCTCCTCATCATTCATGCTGAATGGACACTTGAGAAGGTTCCTGAGCATCACTCCAACCAGGAAAAGAGACAGCAACTTGGAAAGATTCTCTTTCTCCTTCTACCCACCCCCATGGAGGCAGGAAACTCACTGAGTGTCTCTGCCACCCATTCCTAGGGCAGCAGACACCAGTTTGCTCTGCTGGTGCTTAGATCTGAGTCATGCAGATCTGCCAGAAGCCAAGGGAGTCAGCTCCCATCTGATACTTAGCATCACCTACCCAGCTTTGATGAAGAACACTGCCTTTCTGGAAGAGAACTCTGTTACAAAAGGTAGAATTATCTTTAGAATCACTCTGTGTCTGAGATTAGCAGCAAGTCTGTTTGCGAGTCTGGCTGGACCTCAAGAAGACACAAGGAATTCTCTAATTCCCAGCCGTCTACCCCCCTCTGGTGGCCACTTCTCAGCTAAGAGGGAAGCCCCACAGGCAGCAAGCACCATGAGAGGAAGTGGCAGGGGAAGTTGATTAGAACAATCCAGGTGAGCCAGGAGGCAGGGTCCCTGAAACTGGCTGACTCTAGTAACAGGGCACAGTTCTCACCCCTCGCCTGAACTTCCCTACCTCCAGCAGCCAGGGTTTGAGTTTGTGGTCCAATAAGATGTCGAAGCCCAGGATTTCAAAGCAGGCACTGTTAAGTGTGTGGCCAGGGAAGCAGGTGTGGTAGTTATGTTTGATGACTGGGTAAGCCGAGATGATTGTCTTGATGATGACATCCTCGATAGCCCTCCATATCTGTCCCACATTGAAGCCGTGGTTCTCCATGTACGTGTTGAAGGTAGAGAGCTTCCTGGAAGGGAACCACAGGCCATCAGGCAGGGCAGCTGGCCTCTGGCCATTCAAGGCCACGGCATGCTGAAAACCAGAAACTTCTAGAGAAGATAAAGCTCTAGAGCTGGTGTGGATGAACACCCAGGACCTAGCATGACCACAGGGCTGGGTCAGCTTAGGAGGGAGCCTGTAGGAGTCATAGGCCACACCCCTCAGGTGTCCAGAGCCCTGGGGTAGGTACAAGTATATAGTCAAGTAAGACATGACCTGAGCACTTTCACTGTGGCCTAGAAGACACCTGTGAGCTGGGGAAAGGATGGGATATCTGGGTGGAAAAATTAATGGATGGGAACCAGGTGAGGTGGCATATGCCTATAATCCAGCACCTCCAGAGGTGCTGAGGCCAGTGTGAGGCCAGCCTCAGCAACTTAGCAAGGCTCTAAGCCACCTAATGAGACCCTATCTCAAAATAAAAAGTTAAAACGGCTAGCGATGTGGATCAGTGGTTAATCGCCCCTGGGTTCAATCCCCAGTATGGGAGGAAAAATGGTTAATGGATGAGAAAAAAAGAAAAAGAAAAAACACCCTACATCATAGTTGTGCTTGCGTAGCAATGGTTTCTCTACCTCTGGTGTTATCTACTTGGGGAGTCTTTTAAGAATACTGGTACCTTGGTTCTACCTCAATCATCTGAGGGGAAAATGATAACACAGAAATCTTGTTTCAGGGTTGCCCACAGGAAAAAGACAATCCCACAACATTTCCACAGACAAGGTTACCAATAGCAGGCAAACTGAACTGTTCCTATTTTTGAACAGAGAGCCCCACGTTCCAGGAAACCTCAGTCAGAGGCAGATCAGTATGGCTGTTGATCCAATTGCTGAGGAAATCAAGAGCCTCTCTACCAGAGACATCCATGAGGAAATATCTGAGTGGACAGATGCTCCATTAACTCTAAGCTGGGCAGCACAGAGAAAGGATGAATCTAAGAGACCATAGAGGCAGTGGTGGGGGTGGACACTCAACCTCTCACACATATGTACCAAATGTCCCCCAGAGAGTCAAAGTGGAAGTGGAAATACAGGAGAAGATGCAAGAGAATGGAGACCTGAGAAGAGAACAACGAAGACAAGAGACAAGGCTCCCAGGCAGTTCTAAAAGCTCGCTGGAGCCCAAGTGAAGTGGTCAGAAAAGGAGGAAGCAGGTCTACCAGCCAATGAGCATCTGATAAGGGCCTGCTGTGCATGCAAAGCTTGGTGAAATGAGGAGACACAGAGGAACCACCACCTCTGCCATGGGAGGCCTGGGCACCATTTGGGAAATCAACACACATACAAAACAACTAAGGATGCATTTATATAAAGACAGAAAAGGAAAGGTCATTCAATACAGAGACCACCTCCTCTACCTGCCATTGTCAGAGTGCATGTAAGTGGATTTTCTAGATCATTTGAAGTCAATCCTTTCAAGTGGAAAAAAAAAAAGTGTATTTAATTTGCCTAACTGGGATGTAAATTTTCCTGAAATAGATCATGTACTTCCCTGACTTCTTATAACAGACGTTACAGAACATAACAAAACCTTCTTTTGATGACTCAGGCTCTATCACAATATACAATATTGTACAATTTCTTGAGGGCCAGCAATTAGTGAACTCACTTTAACAACAGCTATATGCCAAGCACACAGAAGAGGAAGAGAACTGGTGTCTGCCCCAGAGTGCTGCCAGGTTTGAAGTTCTGTCTTCTCTTTCACTCTGAGGAGCACTTTTCTGGTTGAGTTTGCACCCCAGTTTGGGGGACTAACCAAAGGGTTTAACAGTTGGCCTTAGCTGCCAACTTTGGGGCAGGGGAAACAGCATAAGGAATAGGTTTTCCCAGAAGATGGGGAGGAACTGGGTGTGGTGGTGCACGCCTGTAATTCCAGCAATGTGGGAGGCTGAGGCAAGAGGATTGCAAATTTGAAGCCTGTCTCAAAATACAAATAAAAAGAGCTGGGATGTGGTCAGTGGTAGAGACCCTTGGGTTCCCAGAAAGAAAGAAAGAAAGGAGGGAGGGAGGGACAGATAGAGAAGGAGGAAAGGAAAGGAAGGGAAGGAAGAAGGGAGGCAGGAAGGGAGGGAGGGAGGAAGAGAGAGAAAGACAGGATGAAAGAAGGAAAGAAAGAAATGGAAAAAAAGGAAGGAAGGAAGATAGAAGGATGGAAGATAGGAAGGAGGAACAGGAAGAAAAAAAGCAAAAAAATAGGGGAGAATGAAAGAACTCTCTACCTGGCCAAATGGAAAGCACACCAAAGACCAGGACATGCTGTGGTTTGTGTCCCCCAAAAGTTCATGTGCATAAACTTGCCCCCCATACAGCAGTTTGAGAAGCGAGGCCTTGAGAGGTGATTGGGTCATGAGGGTTCTGTCCTCGAGAATGGATCAATCCATCAATTATTACGGGAGTGGCTCTGTTATGAAACAAGCTCTCTCTGGCACACTTGTTGAGGAGATGGGCTGAGCCAAGAGAGGGCACAGCCCCCAGGCCATGGGGGCAGAAGACTGCTCCACAGAGAGGGCACACAGAGAACAGGGGTGCGAGAGAGAGGTGAAGAGAAGGAAAAGGAAGTGGGAGAAGCTAGGGCAGCAGAAGAATATTTGAGGGTTGCGGGTATAGCTTAGTGGGTAGAGCGCTTGCTGAGTATGCATGAGGTCCTGGGTTCCATCCCAGCACCAATAAATAAATGGAAGAAAGCAAAAAAGAGAATAATACTGGAAATCTTCACACCCTTGCTTTAGTTTTGTGCCCAACAACACCACCTCCATCATGGCCTGAGGGGCCTGAGGCCTGTTATTGGGATATCAAGTCTCATAAAAGGGAAATGAGGGCCTTGAGACCAAAGAAAAACAACAGTAACCAGAGCACTGTACTGCCAACAAGTCATCTGAGTCTCACAGAGGCCCCACGAGGTGGGCAGGAGAGGGCAGGTTTTCTCATGGCCCTCATCTTACAGACCCAGAAACGGAGGCTCAGAGAGATGAAGTACCTTGTCCAAGCTTTCTCAGCTGGCAAGCAGCAGAGCAGGGATGAGAAGCCAGGCCTCCCTGAGTGTTGACGTTCCACATGCACCACTGGCGCCCAAAGTTTGGGTGGGGACACAGGCAATACAGAGGGGCTGACGTCCTCTGAAAAGGGGCAGACTACCTCCTCCCAGCCTGACACATCCCCTCCAGCAGGCGTAGCCTAGAGATTTTCTGTGTGCTGAAATGCCACACATTTCTCTGCTGCTCTGACACCAAATGGATTGACTTTTCCTCAGTCCCTTGAGACCTGGTTCAGTAGGAAGAGGGTGAGCCTCAGAGTATGACAGGCCCAGCTTCTTGTCCCATGCTAGCATTCAGAGCTGGATGACCTTGGGCAACTTAGCCCTGCAGAGACTCAGTTTCCTCATCTATAAAATGGAGATGGCACCTAACTCATGGCTCTCCACCTACAAAGAGCAGGTGATAATGGCTTTGCCATTGTATTGTGGTGAAAATTCAAGAACAAAAACTGCACACAGGTGCCAGGCACAGCACCTCTGAGGCCACCAGAAGTACCAGAACACTGTACTGCCAATGAGTCATTTGAGTCTCACAGGGGCCCTATGAGACTGCCTGGCCCTCTGCCTGGCCAAACTAGGTTCCTCGGCCTTCCTCTTTCTTAAAACTCAAGTGAGAGCTATTCAGGCTCAAACTCAAACACAAATGGAAAAGCTGCTCATGATGAGACTCATAAATTCCTTTCGTGTCCCCCCTTCTGGGGAATCTTAAGGGCCAGCTAGCCACACGTCATGTGGCACCAGGGCATCCTCGTGACACATAGCTTGAGAATCTCTAATGGAGCAACACCCCAGGGAACCACAGACCAAGAAACCACAGCCTGGCAAGTCCTTCTCAAATGGCAGACTTGTGATCAATAAATGTCATTTGGAAATGTCAGAAGGGCAACTGTAACAAGGCTATGTTTTAGTGTGTGTATGTATTCTGCTGGGGAAACGGTTCAAGTTTATCTCTCCTCCTCCCAGCCTCCTAGGGTTTACGATGTGGCCTCCTTTTAATGATTAACAGTCCAGAGAGCTGAGATGAGTTCTGGATTGAGAGGCAAAGTCTCTTCTGAGACCACGTGACCCAAGATGGAAACACTGACGGAGACTGACAGGGTTTGGGTAGAATCCTGGAAAGAAGAGTAAAAACTGTTCCTTTACCTCTTGCTGCCACAGTAAGCATCTTGAATGAAGTTGGAACTGTGCTTATTAATGGAATAATTAGTCAGGTGCATGCAAATATCATCCTGGGAAAAGAGAACATAAGATGTGGGGTCAGGCTGACATGAAGGCCTCTTGCATTCTCTCTGTGCCCTCCCATGGCCCCTGGGGATTAACTGCATGGAAAAGAAAGGGAAGTTTTAAGATGTACTTAAACTGGCAAAATTAAGGCAGTAAAAAGGGGAATCTTAGAGCCTGGGCAACTTAACCCTGTATAAGCTGGAGTATAAGAAACTCTAGCTCCTCCTGAGAGTGAGCGCTGCCTTGCCTGAGGGAAACTTCAGGAGTCCTAGGGGACTTAGAGTGGGGGGATGGCAGGATAGCTCACTCCTGAGCACTGTGGACCTGGTGTTGGAGTCGGGCAGACTTGGCCACAAGTCCCAGACTCACCTCTTGCTAGCTGTGTGACCTTGGACAAGTCCCTTCCACTCTCTGGGTTTTAATCTCCCTCTCTGTAAAAAGGAATAATAACTCCTATGTCTGAGAGTTCCTGGGAGGGCTCAGACTAAAGAATATATGCAACCTGGCATATAGGTAGTGCTCAGCAAATGACAGCCAGATCCATGATGTCTCAAGGAAGGGTATTTAAGCAGGACTTTTTATCATGCTAAGGAGGAGGGGGAGGCATCATGTCCCCTCAGCTCACCAGGTTGTCTGTGCAGGGGTAAGAGTAAGAAGTGGTAGCAAAGCGGACCAGTCCTTCTTTGTACACAAAAATCCTGAGAGGGTCACATGATGTCACCAGCACATAAATCCGTAGGTCAAACTTGAACCCATCAATAATAAAGGGCTGGGAGGAGAAGAGAGAAGTCAAACAAGCAGCAGAGGAGAAGCTCATACAAAAATCGCCAGCCCCCATCTTGTTTTCATGGATGGAATCAGTCCAACACTGTCTAGTGTTGCCAAGTGAAGGCTTGGCCAGGCCTGGGGAGCAGGATAAGGAGAACTTGGGTTTTGTGGCTTGACTTGTGACCTTGAAGAGGTCACCAAACCACACTGTGCCTTGATTTCCTGATTTCTTCATTGGCACAAACAACTACCACCAAGAGATATCTTGGCAACTAAATAAAGTAACAGTAAAAGTCTTTTGATGAAAGGACACATGGTTCTCATCCAGGGCTGTGTTATACTTGTGGTCCTGTAAGAGATTTCCTGCAACCAGTAATCCTGGTCATTTTGCCTTGGGTGGGAGGTGCAGTGTTTCTCCCTCTTCTCACACTTCTAGAAGGTTCCCTCCCTGCAGCAGGTTATACTGTGACCTGTGGCACTCAGGGAGGGAATCTGTTTACCATGAATCCCTCCAGGATGATTCCCTTCTCCCAAATAAGGTAGGGTATCCACAAACTAAGGTGTTCTCCCAGCTCTCATCTATTTGAGCAAAGGGGCTAGCCTGATGAGGTCAGACCAACAGACAAGTGTACATGGCAGCACCTCTGCTTAGGAAATTCGGTCTGACAAAGGCCAAGATAGAAGACAGTCTCAGCTTCATCCACACTTCCACCCCCCATTGACTCATTTCACATTGTATCCAGTGCAGCTAGATCCCGAGGCTGCTATGGGCAATAAATAAATAATCACAATAAGGAAGTACCTTTGAAATATAGAGCTGACAGATCATATCCTCCTCTGGTTTGATTTCTTTCACAGTGCGGGTGATGAATATACCTCTCCCTTGGCAACCTGAGTCCGGCTTACAAATGTATGTCTTATTTTTTCTTGACCTGCTATAGGTCTGCAAATCTCCCCAGCTACCAGACAGGGAAGGAACAAGATACACCATTAGCTGGAGAATAATGAAAAGGAAGACCAGTTCCATATGAAAAAACAAACCAACAAAAAAACAGAAGAGTAAAGGTATCTGAAGTACAAAGTCCTGGCATTGATAGACAGAGGCCCAGAGGCCAGCAACGAGAGAGATAATAGAACTGATGAAGTGGAGTGTGTGTGTGGGCTTCAGAGGGAATTCAGGTCTGGATTCAAGCCCAGGCAACACCACCCACCAGCTGTGTACCCGCAAGGACGTGACCTCTCGGAGTCTACATTTCATCATCTAGGAAATGTGGATAATGAAACCCATCTCATGCAGTGGTTAGTTAAGATGACATAATGCAGCAAAGTGATGATCTGTGCTATCCACCCCACGAAGGTGGCCATGACCCAGGCAGTTTGGCATTCTGGATTTACAGATAGGAGATTTGGAGTTCTTAGTCTGGCTCAAGCCCTGACAAGTGATGTGACATTGAATCAATAGGTCTCTTACCCTCTCTGGGCTTCAGTGTTTCATCTGTGATGTCGCCACCCCCAGCCAGAGGATGGGAGGGCAAATAAAACCTTTAAATGTGCTTTTAAGACAGTATATTCAAAAGAAAGAAACTAAATTAATGGATTATGTATATCAGTCTTGCTATATTTCTTGTTTTTCATCTTAACTCAAAAGAACCTTGTGATTCTTGGGAAAATCACTTAGCCACAATGTTCCTCAGTGGCCATGAAATCTGGAGGCTCCTGTTAACTGGACAGTGCACACATTTCCTCGTAAGTTGCTGCTAAACCTTGGAAGTTGTTCCAGACTAAGGAAAGGCTGGGAGCTCCTGGTTTAAGGAAGTCTTGGGAGGAGAGGGGAGAGTGGGATTCCTCTTCTTTGTGAGTGTAAAAACAGACGGTGGCATGTCACACTACCCCTGCCTTGTCTCAACCACCAGATTATACCCCTGCTTGTGCTCATGCCATCTCAGATTTCTCCAGAGCATTTTGCCTATCAGGAATGGAGGTCCAGCTTTGAAATGGATAAAATGAGAGCAAAAAGGGACAGGGCTGCCCGTCCAGCCCGGCACTACATGGGACAGAGGCAGGCAGTCCTCCCTGCTCCTACCCTGGGTGCTAATCAACCCCAACCCCACTATCTCCAGAGGAGCTCCTGGTCCTAAAAAATTCAGAAACAGAACAGTTAAATGGTTGGAAGGAGTTCAAGATCAACATCCTTCAGGGTCAGAACAAACTCTCATCCAACTACAGGTACAGGCTCCAAGGCACCCAGCCCTTAATTGTCATCTCATTTTATAGGCAGAGCCCTGTGTGTTCTCAACCTTGGACACACCCTTTATCCTTTCTCTTCCTGGACAGTATAGAGAGAGATGGGAGATCTTATGGGAAGGGAAAGTAGCAACCAGGGAATCAGGGCAGGAGGGAAATGTAAATAGGGGTGGGGAAGAGAAGGAAATCTGGGCTCACTCACTCAGCAGGAAGACACCAGGTCCTAGGGAAAAAGTGGAAATCTTTAGGGAACATCTTTAACATGCGGCTCATATTCCTAGCCAGCAAGTCCTTGCGGCAGATTTCACTCATCCCAGGGAAGTGATTGATCTTCTACAAGGGAAGCAGTAATTCATGAACAATGGGAGGACATGGGAGCACTCTGAGATTCCCCTCAAGCGTCAGTGATTAAAAATGGGGGCCCTGGATGGGGATATAGTTCAGTTGGTAGAGTGCCTGCTTCTCGCATGCACAAGGCCCTGGGTTCAATCCCCAGCACCACAAAAAGGGAGTTGGGGGGGGGGGGACTGGGCAGATGTCACACTTAAATTGAGGAAAATACCTGGTAGCTCTTCATGTCCATCACCCTCTCCAGTGATACCGAGTAGTCCGTCCAGTACAGAGTCCAGTCATCGTTGTCACCTCCCTCTCGAAGGCCATACTGTTGGGCCACCCTACGCACTGCAATGGAATTGAAGAAAGAAATGTCCTGTTCGCCCAGGAAGCAAAGGAGGAGCAAAGGATGGGGAGGTTCCTTTTCTAGGTAGTTCCAGACCCAAGTACTGGAACAAGAGACCCAGCTCCTTAGGACTGTAAGCCATCTTTCCCTGTCTGGATGTACCACTACCAAGAAAGGAACATGGAGAGTTGGAAGCTGTTGAAGAACACAGCCAGTATGCAGTGATTGCCACAGAAAGTTATCTGGGGTAAATGTTTGACCCGCCTTGGCTTCCCCTTGCCAGGAAGCAAGCCTCTGGCTTTCTCCTAAACACCAAGCCCTGAGTGTTCAGAAAATACAAACTGATCCTTAACACCAAGCAGAGCTAATCTTAACTAGTGAGGTAAATTGGCAGGAAAAAAAAATTTAGACAATGTATTTCAAAACCATATATACCACTATCACATCTTTCTTTCCTGCCCCCTATTAGTATTAATAGCTAAAAAACTGATTTCAACACAGGCCAGATGCCTTCCTTCCTAGGCATAAGAAGGAAGGAGGACCTGCAGTAACCAGGAGAGGACAAGAGCAGGCCAGGACATTAGAATTTGAACTCAAACACAAAGGCAACAACACTGTGCTCTGTAATACAAAGCAAGTCTGTAGACCAGGGTTAGCCTCAGACTGCTGGATTGTGACATATGTTCTAAAACAGGGCCATTGACTGCAGCAACAGCTGCCTCTTCTACAATGAGATCCTCAGTCACTATATATATACATATATATATTTGCACCAGGGATTGAATTCAGGGGCTCAGGGGCACTTGACCACTGAGCCACATCTCCAGCCCTATTTTGTAGACAGGGTCTCATTGAGTTGATTAGTGCCTTGATTTTGCTGAGGCTGGCTTTGAACTTGTGATCCTCCCGCCTCAGCCTCCTGAGCCAATGGGCATACAGGCATGCACCACAGCACCCAGCCCCAGTCACTGCATTACAGATAGCTGAAAAATATGCCACGGGGATCAAAACCCATGATTCTTGGAATGAGATTCCCAACTCTCTCAAATAGTCTGTGGAGCCAGAGGAACCAAGGAAGGGGGTTTGAAGACACCCTTTTTTCTCAAGAATACCCTCAACATCAAGAGTGACCCTTCCCAACGTCACAGGGGGAAATGGTAGGTCCTTGTCCCCGATCCTTCGCATTGAAATGCTCACCACTCTCATACCGGCAGCTGGATAGATTAATCACCAATCATCTGGAAAAGAGAAAAAGGAAAGCACAAGACAGAGACAGACTGCACCCAGAAACATCCTGTCCCAGGTGGAGCTGCATGAAACCTAAGCTATCACATTAAGCCTGATTCAACTATTCCCATCACTGAGGACATGAATGGGTACAGAGTGGCAGAAAGCATGGAATCAGTACTGTTACCCTGTCCATGGGATATAGAGTCTATATTGCAATTATAGCTAATTTAGCATGCAGCTTCATATTAACATCATTTTCTTAGTCCTTTTACTCCAGTAGTCCATCGGGAACAGGAATTTAAAATATTTTTGGCCAAAATACTTGCTTCTCTCTTCTTCTGCACAGTAGGGAAGCTGTCAGTGAGAAAGCAGACAATCTTTCAGACACTAATCAGTCTGAATGGAGCAAGACCTGGCAAAATATTAAACAAGAACTGGAATCCACAAGCTACAGTCAGATCCTAATACAATAGCATGGTTCTATTATATTTAAAGTGTATTAAATTCTCAGAACAAATAAGCACTTTTAAAAAATACCTTTTTTAATTTTTATTTTATGTGGGGCTGAGGATCAAAGCTCACATGGGCAAGGCAAGCACTCTACCACTGAGCCACAACCCCAGCCCTAAATAAGCCCTTTCTTATACTTATGCAAGGAAATTCTCTCTCTTTACTCATTTTTTGAAAGGCATTCTAAACATAAATAGAATGAAAATTAGGACAAGGTGCAGTTTTACACATGATTATTTGATTCTATAAAATAAACCATCAAAAGAGCCTTCTTTTTATGTGAACTGAAAAGCAGAGTGGGTTTGACAGCTTCACAATTTTCCTTTACTCTATCAAGCCTCCTTCCCTCCAGGTCCTTCCTGTTCTTACCAACATGGAGTCCCATTCCCAATTTCCAATCCTAACCTCTTTTTCTTCCTCTTCTTCTTGCTTTGCTGACGGGCCTCCTGAAACCCCTTTTGTGTGTTCTCTCTCACAAAAGCCAGGGTGATGATTTCTTTTAGATCTTCTATGGAACAGTTCTCCCTCTCTTTGGAGTCTGCTCTTTTTTTACCCTCAGAAGTCAGGCACTGTGGCATCTTCCTGACTTGGAAGGAGGCTCTGGGGAAATACCAGCTACCCCTGGAGAAAGAGCAGAAGGAATGGTACTTACACAGACCCACCTGCAGGGGGACCCCCTCCCCTGCGCATGTGGGTAGTGAACTGGAATTCCAAGACAAGGCAACAGGTTGTATAAAATGCCAACCCACCTCCCCAGTTAGTGCAAGCTCTGGGAAGGAGCCCATTTCACCTTTTGCCATTGACTACGTCCTTTGGGGACTTAACCCAGCCAACCCTAGCCTTGGTTTTTGCCTCCTGGGGTTTTCCAGAGCAGGCTGAGATGCTGTGCATGACACTACTTGGTAAACAATCTTATTAAAGTAAGTGTCTGGAGACAGCTTCAGAACCAAGCCTGAAGCCTTCCTAGCTGAGGGAGCTTGTCCCCGAGGGTGCAGTGGAGGTGCATTTAAGCTGTTAACTCTTTCAGTATTACATCCAACTCCCCACATAGTAATCTTCAGGCCTGAAAATAAATGCAGTGCTCATTCATGGAGTACAGTGCTGATTTGTAGCTGACTGTAAGATTCAAGTCCAGGGTCAAATGCAGACCTTCAAGTATGCCCACCACAGAAAAGTCTATAACATCTCCCTTACCATCCACTCCAAATTAAAAATAACACCAAATCAAAAAACACATACAAGGAAGTACAGCAAAGTTCTCATCCTCCTGATCCCCAAGAGACATCTTCGATGATTGCTTGAATTTTCAAATATCAAATTTTTAAAAGTGAACTTTAATGTTCCTCCTTCAATACTCTTTAGGAATGTGCTTAGTTCACTTTGGGTAACCCAGATATGCTAGGCCCAATTAATGCGAATTCTCTTACATCCAAGGCTCCTGTGGCCATAAGGCTCCTTTTCTAGTGCTCTCCCTTCCTCTCTTTACCTCCTAAAATCCTACCAAGCTCCTCACCATTTTAGCTCCTCTCTTTTGATACTCATAGTTATTTTGCTATTTACTATCTTTTCCTCCCACACACTCTTATTATTATTGAAAATACATTACAGGATTCTTTAAAAATAGGGAACGGTAGGCTGGGATATAGTTCAGTAGTAGAGGGCTTGCTTAGCATGCTGAAGGCCCTGGGTTCACTGCAAACAAACTCCTTAGAAGTGGGGCAGAGCAACTTTGACTCATCTGTGCCTTCTTTTATTCTTAATTTTCAAGCACAATTATTGTAGTCAATTTTGTATCTGCTTTTTGCCCACATAATATCATAAACTGTAAACATCCTTTAAGTGGTGGCAAAGTTTGCAGGTTCCTAGTTTTTAATGGCTGTGCAATATTCCATAGAAGGAATGCGTCCATATTTAACTAACCATTGTCTTGTTGTTGGAAATGTTAAGTTGCTTCCAATTTTTAATCTTATGTAAATAACTCTAAAATATATATTTTCCAAATGGGCTTGGTGGTACGAATCTGTAGCCCCAACTACTGGGGACGCTAAGGGAGGAGGATTGCTTGAGCTCAGGAGTTTTAAGACCAGCCTGGGCAAAATAGTAAGATGCCAGAGGAAAAATAATACCAACAACCCCCCCATACTTTTAGAGAGGGTCTTTTACTTTTTGGGGATTATTTTCTTAAATTAATAACTGAAGATTATAGTCCTAATTATAGGAAAATTGTGTAGCTTCTAGTATACATATTTTTTTTCTTTTTTACCTTGTTGTTTCCCAGAGGGGTTTCAACAATTTTTACTAACTACTACTAGCAACATGCAATTATAGCAGGCTCACCAGAGGTACACAATCTCTCGGGAATCACCTCCCCTCTGCATTTAAACTTGCTAATTCTAGCCAACTCTTATACCCTACAGCCATGTCTTTAACGTTATACCCTTCTACCTCTCTCTGCCCTTTTCCCAAAGCTAATTTGGTGTCAGAGTGGGAGCTCTCACTAGGAAGGCTATCCATGAATAATGTAACAATAAACCCTAATGTGGGATAGTTCTTTGGGCTTTGCAAACAATTTTCATATGCATACTCTCATTGAATGCTTATAATCACCCCTGGGAGAAAGACAGGCAGAATTATGACATGGACCAAGGATTGCCACTTATTTTCTGTCTCTCATTATCATTTGTACCCAAGTCCCTTTTTGGTGACAGCGGAGCAGGGGGAAAAAGAGTTGTACTCCATGCAACTGACAGATAAAACCTGAGCTTTGTAATGTAAAGTTTTTCTCATTGACAGGGCATATACTTGGCAAAGTTCAAGAGAACTAAGGAACATGAATCTTGACCTTGGGCTGCTCCCTTCCTTGCAGGTAAACGGCCAGCTCCACTCCCCTAGCCCTCCACAACGGCTCCTGTTTACCAAGCTCTCAAGGAGGAGTGGCTCGTTTACCTAAAGGTTAATGTTAACTTGGGGAGAAACTGACTCTGAATTTGACCTCTGGAGTCAGAAGTTATCTTTGCCCTTTTTCAAATCCTTACCCAAGTGGTCAGAACTAATCATGGCTGCTTATATTTGTCTGCCTCAAAGAGACTAACCAACCAGACAAACAAAAAGGTCAAATGGCTTGTCCTTTCATGAGAAGGGCTCAGACCCATAGTGCAAGGAGCTAAGCCCATGAACTTTAGGAGGGATGGGTTCACCATGGCATTCTTGCCTACATTCCCCTGTATTCTAGGCTGCCTATGACACAAGTACCTGGGTGGCACCGGAGACAGGTGGGAGATGGCAGACAATAGTCTTTGCCACACGTGATTATTTTTTGCTTTGTCTTTCTCTCTCCCAACCTCCCTATTTAATTTATAAGGCAGAAACCTGCTGGCTTCTCTCCAAAGTCTCCTAAAAGAGAATATCTCATTCAAAGGTTGCCTGCTGGAGACTTACATCCTGAACACAACCTGTAGAAGCATTCACTTGGCCCAGTAATGTGTTGTTATTGCTATAGTTGATAGATGTAGTTGCCAAGCTGTGCCTGCTGGTGAACACCTGTAATCCTAGTGACGCTGGAAGCTGAAGCAGAGGATCACAAGTTTGAGGCCAGCCTAAGCAACTCGAAAAAAAAAAAAAAAGAAAGAAATGCTGGGGCTGTATAGCTCAGGGGACCTGAGTGTCCCTGGGTTGAATCGCCAATACCACAAAATAAAAATTAAAAATGAAATAAATTCTAGCTCTATCACTTCCCAAATACCTAACTTTTAGGTGGTTTACTTAACCTCCTTCTGCAGTTACTTAACCTCATCTGTAAAATGGCTTACCCCAACTATGGGAAATAAACAAGTTAACTCATTTGACTTAATACAATATAAAGTTCCTAGAACAGTGCCTGGCTCATAGTTGGTACTCACGAAGTGCTGTCTATCACTATCAGCTGTATGACCCTGGACTTCTGATGGCAGACTGAGGCACAGAGAGGAAAGTAAGGGGCACATCTGGGACTTAGAACACATGTCTGTCTGACCCCACAGCCTCTCTCTCCTCTACACTCTGCTGTTTTTTCTTCTCAGCCGATCACCCATAAATGGTGTGATTATAAAGTAATTGATTTCCTAGTTGCAGAAAGGAAATCAGAAACTGCACCCAGATGCAGCCTTGATGACGTTAGTTCCTTAAAATTAATTATTTCAGTCCGGTGGTAGAGCTTTGCAGTAGAACACTTATCTAATGTGCCTGAGTTCAATCCCCAGCATTACCATAAATAAATAAATAAATAAAGTGTCCCCACATCCCTTAAAGCCAACTGCTCCTAAATTTCCAACGAAGTTCACATCTCTCTGGATTCTTCATAACCTGGGAATAGCTCTGTTGTTTCTGCTTTGTATTCGTTTTCACTCTTTCCCTTCTTTTCACCAATATGCACATTATACCAGGGCTCTTATTAGGGGTGTAATTAGAATAATTTTAAGGGCTGGGGATGTGGCTCAAGAGGTAGCGTGCTCGCCTGGCATGCGTGCGGCCCGGGTTCGATCCTCAGCACCACATACAA